CCGTGGCATTAAAAAAAACAAAACATCTAAAACTGAATCTTAGGATGTTTCCACATTTGTCCGCGACCCCTGGTGAATCATTACTCTTTATTGATTCGTGTTTTTCTTAGTTTTTTTGGCCAGTTTGCCCATTAAGATGTGTTTTTTCAATATTTTTCTTTTTTTTCTTTCCTGAAATGAAAAATAGAACAAAATATATTGCATTCTTATGAAGGTAATTCCCTTCAGAAGTTGTTTTTTATTGTATTTTTTATTTGGATTCGCTGTCTATTGACCTAGCACCTAGATCAAACAGACAGCAGTTATTAATGTTGAAATGTGTCTACGTGTTCTCAAAACACTGCGAAGAATGACCCACATCAAAGTTTTCTATAAGAAAGTATATAATAATCTAGATATCTACACAAACACACAAATATATATATATATATTCATATATATGTATATACCTTTTTTATAGTATGGCTATTGAAAAAATTACGTCAGTAATCATTTAATAATAAACCACTTTGGATTGAGAGAGGTTTAAAGAGTAATATTAAAAGCTAATGATAGCTTTGTTTGCCCCGCAAATTAACTTTTAAGGCTTGCCACGATTAACATCGGATTGATCTGATTTTATCTAAACACCCTCAGAGGCACTATGGCGGCCGCTGTAGAAACCAAAGCTGCACCGCAGACTAAAGTTAGAACTTTAAAGGTATTGTGGAGGATTTTCGCGAATTTTTGAAAAGACATGCCCTCTCCAAGCACATGCACAACCCTGTACCCGCTACCGAAAGGGAACGCCTATTAAATGCGTGCGAGAACGTGCACGACCCAATTTCCCCTCGTGCATGCTCTGCTGAAAAGTTGCTGTTCATATAGCTTGTATAAGTCTACTGTGCCTGAACGTCCGTCGCAACTCCTAAATCACTACATACAGCGAGGACTTTATAGTGAACTTCGTTCGCACAGATGATCACTGCTTCTTGCTTTCCGTAGATGACGTAACTCTTCCTCCACCGCGCAGTGCCTGCGCCATCTTATTAGTCGCCACTGTTGGGTAGCGACAGCGGGCGGCTGTGACAGCAAATCCCACAATGCTTTGCAAAGGAGAGCTCCCAATGCATAGCATTCTGGGATATATCTGTCTATTCTGAGGCCTTTCTTTTCTGCTCATACACTTCTTAGACACTTTGTCTCTTACGACCGTCAACCATTTTTAAAGAACCGCAGTGAGAAAGATGAGCTACAATGACTGTCTGAAACCATAGCTCACCACAGATACATGCCTCAAAGTGTGCATGTGTAGAAAAAGATAGCTAACTAGGGACGAGCACGTAGGATGGCCTTATGTAAACATATTACCAGAATGATTGACAATTAGGAGGACCACTTATTTTGATGATACATCCAGAAAAAGAACATCTTCCACTGTACCTTTAACTTGTTTCCTACCATTCTAAGTTATCGTCTGCAAGAGAAACCTGAAATTCAAAGACGGGTGCAGCGGTGAAAACTAGGATTTCTACAGCGCCACTAATATCTGTTAACATTCACCAGGGTAAAAACCAGCTTTTCTTTGTGCCTCCCTGACTCAAACCTTTACCATAGATATATTTGTATTGTAATTGGCTGTAAAGTAAGTGCTGTATGCAACTCTGATTCAAACCAAACCTGTGCACCATCGAAATGTGGTAATAATATTGTTACAACAGCTTAGAAGAAGAAAATACAGTGAAGGTATTTAACCAATATTGTGCAGTGAGACGGTTGGAACAACATGTTCCGTTTATCTGCTTACTGACCACATTCTTCCTGTAGATTATCTTTAAAATGGCAGTCTACATACAGTACAGCAGCCTACTTAATCCGCAGCTCCACAATCAACCACACACTGTACATTATTACCTCCGTTTTTTTTTTTTTCCACAAAGGCTTTCATGAGATTATTACGTATTGCATCGGAAAATTGCTTTTTAAAAAAAACAGGAAAAGCTAGATTCACGTTAAGACAAACAAAACAGAAAAAAAAAATACAACCTTCTATAGTGAGTCAATGGTGAAACCTTTTTTTTGTCAGCTTTTTTTTTTTTTTTTTTGCTACAGTGTTGTGTTGGACTTTGTGTAAAAATTATTTTCCCTTCATTTCCTCCCTGTATTGAACAAAATTAACATACTAAAACAAAACTGACCTGAAATATCCTGTCTTATCAGTAATCAAGTGTAACCCACCACCACAAATTGAAACAAAAATAAAAAAACACACAATACATTTTATGTTTTACAATGAGGCATAGTGCTATGTACACATTATATATTCATATATTATCTTTTTAACATGTAAACCAGCACATTCTCTCACTTTTTAGTAGTATACATACTAAGCACAAAACCTTACTCAGTTGTTCACAAGTTGTTGCTTTTTATAGTCTTTTTTAAACAGGCCGCATCTTGTTTTTAACCAGTATGTATAACACTAAAGTGTTAGTTTTGGACATCTGTGAACCTGGAGGAGAAGTCATCCCCTCCAGAATCTTGTCTTATTTCATTTGTAAGCACTGAATAAGGCGCCTTTGTACTTAGTGTGCGTTCCTAATAAAGTCAAAGGAGAAACAAGTGATGTAAACATTCAATTTTTTTGTGTTTGTGTGTGTATGTTACCAAGATGTGGGTTAGATAGAAAAGACAAGAACCAGGATGGGAAAATGGAGATAAGCTGTTAAAAGTGGGAGCTTTGTGAGGGGGAGAACTGGAGAGGAACCCGCAGAGCAGGAAGTTATAGACAGACTGTTTGTTTTGTTGCATGTCCTGGGCATGGAGAGGGCGAGAAGGTAAAAACTGGAGTGGCACTTCCTTGGAAAAAAGAAAAAAAAAAACAAGAAAAGAAGTGCATTCAGAGAAGATTTTGAATCTTCGCCAATGAAGTGCACCCAAGGAGCAACCAGTCCACCCGACTACTGTTTGACCTCTCGCTAACCAATTAGTGTCAGCAGCGTCCAACTCAAACACGAGACAAAGACAAAACGTTCAATTACACGAGGATACAACGCTGAGACTCCAACAAACAGACGCCGTCATGAGGCCAGCGGATGAGAGCCTACAAGAGATTACTATTCTAAGGAGCTTGGAAAATGAAACCCACGCCGCTTTTACCACCCGATGCCCTTCAGCTGTGAAAAAATTGAATCTTTGACAAAAATATGTTGATACGTTGATAAATAAGGAGGAGGGAGAGCGTTCAGGATGTCGGCCAGGACTGGGATGAAAGGATGTGAGGTAGAGACGCTCATCTGACCCGGTGGATGACAAGAAATCGAATTCTCAGCCGGTTACTGTCTTTGTTCCTAATCCCCTGGCAGCTCCCTGGCTGCGTTACTGGTGGCGGTTTGGGGCCACCGGATTGGCAGGATTCAGAGGCTCTCTAGGTTTTTCAAGGCGTGCTGCTGCGGCTATGTCAGCTAGTTGCTAACCAAATGCGGTTTCCAATGACTAAGCAAGTCCATCTTATAAAGCACCACAGGATGATTACATTCAACTTAGAATACATTACTACTCCACCTGTGACCATCATTTATTAATGGATAATGTATTTTGTGCTTCTAAAACCAAACAAGTCATGAACCTTAAATAAACTACTATAATGACTGAGTTGATTTGATTGGACCCAACTAGGCTACAGTAGAGAACAGGTTGCCGACTTTCTAACTTCCAATTTATCCAGTGTCAGACCTCTTAAAATATCTAATAGCGAAAAGAAGCTAAAGCTGGTTTACAATAAATATGTGTGTAAAATATTTTGAGCTTGATTCAATTGTTTCAGAATAATGTTAGAAGACAAGAAACATTGTGGTTAATAAGAAATTCTCACCAGTTAGAATTGACATATGAGAATAATCACAGCGCTACCCATAATTCATCATGACTCGTCTCTATTTTCTCTAAATTTAACCAAAATTAAAACTTTTCGTTGAAAGCCATGAACTTGTAAGATATATTTTCCACAACTATATATTTTTAAGCGAGGTGGTGTTATCCGTAAGAGCTATTATCAATAGAAGGGAGAGACATTTTTCGAAAAATGAATAAATCCTGAAAATCCTCCAATGTTTCAGGGTTTATACAGGAATGAGTAACTGTAAATTAATGGTTTTGAATGCTCTTAGAAATTATTTTAATGCCATCAACAATTACCCATTATTCTCATATATCTCATACGGCTTTATGATCAACTGCAAGCAGTTTCGCGCCAATAGATAATAATAAAGCATTTGAAATGCCAACTTTAGCACATTTAATGATTTTTAATGCCAATTAACACCTTGATTTAAAAAAATTATAATTTAATGACTTTTAATGACATGCGGAAACTGCAAGCTGACAGTGATGATAGCTAATGCTAGCGATGTTAGCACTTAGCCCAACTAAGCAAAAGAGGACGGGGAAGGAATAAAAAAAAAACAAAAAAATTACATTTCCGGATCTATGGATATCAGATTTACAGCAAAAGCTGTTTTTTTTCTGTTTTATAGATATAAACAATATTTCAGTTTAAACTTTCAGTTAGCATCATAAACAGAAGCCATTTTCCTCACATTGACAATCCTGTTTGCAAAAATCCCTCTAGATCCTAAGTCATCTGATATTTAATTGCTTTTTTGTGTGTTTTGTTCTTACTTCAACTTTGAAAAAGGAAGCAGAGAAACCGAATATGTCCCCATAACAATAGGGAAATTAATCAGACAATATAATTAGTCTGTTACTAGGTAAGCTCTTAAAGTGAGTACTCCTTCCTTGGTCTGAATGGACTGTAAAAATGTGAGAATGTTAAACATTAGAAACAGGGTGTTTGAGTGCGAAGAGCCTACAGCAGCCAGTAGCAGAAGCTAAATAGTTAGCATGGCAGAGTTAGAGACAGAAGGGGGACAAAGGAGACGTTTATCTCCGTTACAGTGCATAGTTCAAATCAAGGAAGCACTACAATTACAAAATAAAGGAAACGTGATTTTTTTTCTTCATTTTAGATTTGTAAACTTTTATCAGTCATCCATTGATTACATTAAATGTGTTTGTTATATATTTTGTCCATGAAATACATACAAACACACACCCTCACGCACAAACTCGCACACACAAAGTTTAAAAATCTTTAACATACACAATTATTTTTGCTAAAACAAAACAGACTTTTTTTTTTATTATCCAGGTCCTGGTAATATGACCAGACAAGCAAACACAGCCTGCGGGTTTACCAGCTGAAACCAGAAAAAGAGAGCTTTTCTCTCTCTCTTTCTGTTTTTTTGTTTTGTTTTTTTGCTTACAAAAACCAACAGAATAAGGAACACGCACACGCAACGACACACGCCACAACGACCAACGCAACGCAGGGTTAGCAAGGATTTGCTACAGGTTTCTCATGCCCGTTCTTCCAAGGCAGGGCAAAGACGACACCAGTACAGACAGGAAGCAGCTTTGTTCTTACATTTGTTCAGAGAGCCGTGTCATTATTGTTTACAGCTGTTGTACCATTGCTGTTTAAAGTCCTTTTCCCCCCCCCTCCACTCTCTTCAACTCCTCGCATCAACTTCCTTGTTTTTAAGCAGTATCCTCCGGTGAAAGAGACTTCAAAAAAAAAAAAAAATCAAGGTCTTTGTTACGTTATTCCAATATTAAAAATGTAAACATCTTGCGAGGTTGCCTTGCACGGAGGTACTGTGGGTGTTGTCAGAGGGGTTTACTAAGGCTGGCCAGTCAGCAGCGCTGAACCATCAACGATGCAGGGACTTCTGGGCCTCCTTCAGCAGAGTGTCAAAGTCCAGTGCATCATACTTACTCTTGACAGGGCAAGGACCCGCCTCATCTGAAACACAGAAACACAGACGGGTCATCCATGAGCACCGCAAAAGATAGACCTGATATTTGGGGGGGAAAAAACTATCAATCATTAATTAAAGCTGCTGGTGTAGATTCTTAGTCATTCAGGTCATAGTCATTCACAAAAAAGTTAAAAAAGAATCCACTGGACTTGGTTTCCAAGTTTGAAGACGTTTTGCTTCCCACTAAGGAAGCTTTTTCAGTTCAAAGTGTTGGTTTAGCATTGAGTTCAAAGCTTTATACAGCCGTAAACTCTTTAACTTTTTTGGCATGAAAGAAATCATAACCTAAAGTAATGGTACACAAATTGTAGAACTGTATTTTCTAAAAGAATAACCTACTTAGAGCAGTAATAAAGACAAAACTGCGCAAAAAAAATTACAAATTTTCTATTTCATATTTGAAGTTTTCTTTACCCCTTTAACACCAATTATTTAAGAAAGGGACTATGTGTCTTGGTTGGGTCTGAAAGGCCTCCTCACCCCTGGGGAGGTGTATGAGGAAAAGGGAAGCTTGAGATTGCTGTGATTGCTGCCCCCACTGCTCGGTCCCAGATACGCAAAGATGACAAGTTTGAGTACTTACCACTAACTTAAATGTTAAACATTGGTTCAATCAATTAAAATATGTTCCATCCAATTAATTGATGGTGTCAAGTGTGATGCCACTGCTTAAGCCGGGTTTAAATAGCGATTTTTTTTTTGCCCTTTTTGGGGCGTCTTTCCAGTCGTGCGAGTATTTTCCGATTGGCCCGACTTTTGGACTGATCGTGTAGTGTACAGAGGGTAACGAGGGGGGATCAGCCTCTCACGACTACCTCGTGAGGTCGGGAGAAAATCAAACATGTTAGATTTTTAGTCAACCGAAGTGGGCAAATCGTTCAGTGGGCATGCGCAAACAAGGATTCCTCTTCTTCTTCGTCTCAGATGTAAACACAGAAGCATGGCGGGGGTGCGGGTGAAATGGAGTTCTTTCTGTAAAATTGACAGACCGTAGTAGTCACGTTTGCTCAGCCATGTCTTTGTCCAAGTACGTCGTCGCCTTTTCTTGTTAGGGCTTTCAGCACAAAATTGCACAAATTGCCAAGGCAGCGCGTTTCACTCTAGTGAGCTACATATTCCTCTTCTACTGGTTTGGCTTCCAGATTCCAGAGTCCAAATAGCGCCATCTCACAGCGGAGCTGAGTCTCACATGGTTTTTAGACGTACAGTGTGAGCAGGTAGATCGCATCAGAGCGTAGTGCTGCACGTGCATTGTGAGCTGTGAACTCACACTGTACGACGAAACCACTGGGTTTCGTCGTACAGTGTGAGCTGTAGCTGCGCGTAACGATTGAAAAAAAATCGCACAATGAATGCACGGCTTTAGCTGTGCTAGGAAGACGAAGTCATGTCATGTTACAAAACATTTGTAACATGACAGGAAAGACTAAAATCATGGTAAATCGTAAGGCTTTTATGATTTAGTGCATTTTATCTCATAAATAAGTACAGTTTAATAATGAGTAAGAACATTTTTTTTTGTTTATTCAGTCAGTATTTCACACATCCGGCAGAGTAAAAAGTGAATAATTAATGTCGTATCTGTAATAACTTTTTTTTAGCCCTTCTAGTTAAGTAAGGATCCTTTGGAAATAAGAAAAAAATAATTTTTTGTAGGAAATGGACATTTATCACTTCATTTTAAAAAAGTATATAATATCAGTAAAGTTTTTATTGATCAATTAATGGATAATTGTGTCCCAAGTTTGGATATTTTAAAGCAAAGTTGTGTTATTAATAAATTCTCTTATTAATAGAGAGGTGAATTAATCCTTAAAAGCTGTATTTATTAAAAAACTAAAATTGAGCCAATTTTAGCAGTTAATAGAAGTCAAGCTGAACATTTTCAAACCTATTTGGAAGGGACAATTGATTGTTTCTAAGCGACTCAGTTTGTTTATCAACTAGAAATGTTGGTGGAGGCTGCTGGTCCAAACAATCTGCTTCTTAAAAAGTCAACATTGAGGGTTAAAGTTATCACCACCCAAATGACCAGATGATAATATAAACAAGTATAATTTTCAGTGCAAGGATTGGCAGTAAAAGATGATTTGGTTAGTCTCTTGATTACCTAGATCTATGTAGCGTTTCCTTGTTTGCCTCCTTAGGCCTGAGGGGGCGCTCTGGAAAACAATCTCCCGTTCTTTGCGATGTCTCTGAGGCCCAGACTGACGTATCTTTATCACTCCACAGCGCTCCCTTCAGCAAGACGGGGGAAAAAAAACAAAGTAGGAAGTTTGTTCATTAATCTCATAATCAGTATGATTTCTAAAAGGCACAGTGGGAGTGGAAGCTAATTGGAATGCAATGTATATGACTAGTATTCTTTAGTAAGAGAAAAACAGATAGTAGAGCTAAAATGTAGAATTTAAATTGCATTTAATTAGTCCCCTATGAGGAAATCCACACTGTGGCAGACATAGAGAGGAAGATGGAAGAACGTCTACCGTTCTGAGGTTGGTGCTTTCGTCCAGAACCCAAAATTCTGAACAATTCCAGTTTTTATTTCTACTTTACAACTGTATAATTCAATGTCTCCCCCATAAACCCCCTTAAGAACTGCTGCACCTCTTCAGGGGCAGGTGACCCTGACTTACTCGTTGCAGATGATGACCTTGCAGTCCTCTGCATTGCCAAACACTTGGAAGCGTCTCCTCAGCATGTTCTCAGTCACCCTGCTCGGCAGGTTGTGGATGTAAAACACCTGGCAGTTGTCCTGGGTATGAGAAAACAGAACAATCAGAAGAATATTCCCTTACTTTACTAACTCAATCATTTGCTGAGGTAAGTCTGGGCTTTATTTAATCTTTCTTGAATCAACCAGTTTTTAGGTTTGCTGGACTCAGCGGATTGAGAAGGACGCATACCTCGTCAGATTTTTCTTTGTTCCCCTGGTTGTCGTCTAGGCAGCTCTCAGAGTTCTCACTGAAGGAGAAGGAAGGAGACAAAAGAGAAGGGGAGAAAGTGTAATGTGAGACATTGAGAAACAGGCGGATCAAATCCAATGCAAGTCTCCCACTGGTGGCACAAAGGTACCTTCTTGTTTTATGTCTCCTACAGTTACATCCCCTGTCAACATTTTAAAGAAATAACATGACTGCTGACCTCATCCTGTGCAATGGTGCCTATTCAAACATTCCTGCCTGAGATCTGAGTGATGCTCCAGCGTTTGCTTGGTTACATCTACACATTCAGCCGAAACAAACAGGACTTTTGACCTTATTAACGTGGACAGTAGTTTGTGTTTGATGAGCGTTTTTTTTTTCCTTCTTTATATGCTACACATCACAACCCATTAACCGGCTGAATTCCTCCTGCTTCACGGTCCAAAGCGGGGGGGAGGGGGGGGGGGGGGGGGTGTTGGGGGGGGGGTGCGGGGTTTATAAGCAGAGACTGCTGAGAGAGTGCGGAAAACACTAAATGTCAAATGGTTTTATTTAAAATTCAGAATGAGCGGCTATATAAAAAGCCACAATCCAAGCAGAAGATAACCTGCAATGTGTCACTGCCCATCATCAAGTTTAGCCGCCAGCCTGACATCAAATATGGTCATAATTTAGCACCAGAAACCCTAAAATATCTTTCAAATACAATAAAATATAAATTATAATCACTTTTTTCTCCTTTTACTGGCATTCAAAGCAGATGAGTCATTTTTAAGTACATTTCTCTGAACCGAAAATCCCCAAAACTGACTTCTATATATAAATGGTGATGTAGTCAGACTCTCTCTTGATAAAAAAGGTTAAAAAAAGTTTTCTTTTTCTGTTCTATCTCTGCCTTCATGTGGTAACAATGATACTTTTCGCATGTAAAGTGGAAAATTACCGGCACATTTTGTCCAAATGCTTTTGTCGCTGTGTGTGCATGAGCTAGCCTAATTAGCGAAAAAAACAAACAAAAAAAAAAACATTTATTTTATTATTTAGCCCAAAGACTTCATAGTCTGTCTTTCTACAAACACAACGGGAGAGAAAGTTTAATGATGCGGTATTCACCATACAGAACCCTTTCTCTACTCTCCGCCATTTTGAAAGGTCAAAGTTGACCTCATCTCGGCAACTCGAGTATCAAGATATCTTTCCGGCTTTCCAGTGGAAATAGCAACAGGATTGGGTATTTGTGTGCAGTTTTGATGTCGGGTTTTAATATTTACCATCATTTTTATCATAATACCGCATGAAAGCAGCTGATCATAGGAAAAACGACAGCTTACAAGCATCGCTAACACCAATAGCACTATTAGCATAGGCATGTACTTGCACTTTACAGCAACACCAGAATGCTGCCTGGGCTTTAGCTCCAGTTTTAGTGAGCTCCAAATGTAAAATTTTCTACACAGCGAACATCAAGTTTTACTCCTTTAAAATCAAAAATCTTCCCACTCCTTTTTACACTTGACCTTGGACTTTTTCTTTTTTTTTTCGAAACTACACTAGGACTCTTCTACACTCACTCGCCTCAACTGCAACTTTTATTCATCATGTGATCCAGGTCAAAATTTTGACAATTTTGACTTTGAGACTAAATTCTGGACAAAAAGACATTTTGGAGATTAAAACGTTTGAAAACAGAGTGGCTTACTGGCTTATACATTTTAAAAATGTCAAATAAGGTGACTAAGCCGATTTAATGTTTTCTGGTTAATTAGTTGTTGGGACACAATATTAATCAAAGTCAGAACCAGAGCTGAATTATTAATCTCTGTATGAATGGTTGGAGAATAATAGTGTTTTAAATCCAGAGTTTCTCAGCTGTGGTGAGTTACATGTTTTTTTAGCCTTAAAGTTTTAGTTTTGACTTAATTCACTTAAAGTGACCTTGTGGAACTCTTAGCCACTAGGGGCGCTAGTCCTATAATTTCCAGGCTTGCTTATTTCTGTTAAAGTAGCCTAACAACTGCTTTTGTCTTCATTAAAGATAAAAGCAGTTGTTTAATGGGAGCCCAGACTGCCGTAAAGCAGCGCTCTGGGTCACATGACCCAATGAACGACAGATCCGACCCGCTGAAGTTACAAAGGGGAGTTTTTGAGAAGGGAAGAATGCATGAAGCCTCAATAGTTGAGCAGAGTTGCTTTGAAAAAAAATATACTTTATTATTCCCAAAGAAAAATCAAAGAGTTATCAGCTCTCTTTCTTCAACAATAAATCACAACATAAAGACTGATTAACTTAACTCCAAAACTAGCTGTGAAGTCTACTGTTACATTAGTGCCTGATGGCTTTTGTAGGATCATAGCTCCTTACCAAACTTTCTCAGTTTAGAAATGTGATAACTGTAGAGCACAGAACTGACAATGAGCATTTCTAAAAACTATAAATGCACTTTAACTTCTTTACTGAACCGCCTGTCGTACCTGGAGTCTGTCTTGCTGGAAGGTGAGTCGGGACACATGTGTAGGATGGGTGATGGTGAGCGGGATGCTGACGAGTGCTCCGCCTCCTCTTCGGAAACTGGAGGCGTTGCAGCAAGTGACTGGCAGTCTGAGGAAGGCGATGATGACAACGCCATCTGTTGCTCCTGTGTTTCTACGATTTCAGTTATCATCAGCCTCTCGTCCTCGCTCTCTTTGCCCTTTTCACCTAAAACCTCATTATCCACCACGCTGGATCCATGGGTGTCATCCTTCTCAGCCCCTGCCTGTGTCTGGAGGATGGCACCGAGGATGGCCGCACTACGTTTGCGGCTCTCCCCGAGACTCAGCGCGCAGTAGTCGTGATCGCCGAAGGTGCGCTGGGTGTCGCACTCGCCTGTCTGACCCATGCGTCGCAGCTGGGCGTAAAGCTCCGTCTGCTCTGGAAGCTTCCTCTGGTGGTGGGAGCGACTGAACCATGTTGAGCCCTTTACAGAAACGTTAGTGCTGGTGTTGGAAGCCGGGTGCACGGACTCGCGGGCGCCTCCACTGTCACTGCTGCCCTTTCCTCCCTCCGTTGGCTTAAAGAGCTCATCCTCCACGGGTTTGTGTGGCGGGGTGGTAGGTGGGGTGAGACCTGAGGGAAGATGTTCAATTTTAAAAGTTGATTTCTCTAAACAAAAATTATTTCTATTTAACCCAAACGTTTCATGCCAACATTATATACTTACTGGCACCCCTTGTAAATGTGGGTAAAAATGCTCATTTATAAGGTTTTCTTTAGCAAAAAGTCTTTGCAAACCTCACTGTGAAATAGGTCAGAAACAAAGCTAATAATTTATTATTCAAATTCATTTAGATCAGGGGTTTTCTAAGTTTTCCAGGCCAAGGACCCCCAAACTGATGGTGAGATGGAGCGGGGACCCCCTTATTATTTATATATTGTATGAAATTGTGTTCTATCAAACTGGTCCTATAGTCACTCTATTACATGTGGAGTAATGTAACTAAAGTAATTTCTCCCTGGGATTATTAAAGTTTTTCTGATTCTGATTCCTGGTTAATGGGACAGGTGTTGTGAATGAAACGGTGCCCAGCTTGAAAGAGCTCCTGTGTGTCACTGAATGTGTGCATTGATGACTGAAAGACATCTTCTGCCTCCATTTATCTGTTTACTACAGTGTGTTGAGTTCATGTCAGTGTGGATTTAAAGACATTTCAGTTATTGAAAAAAAAAATGCAGGGCGGAGTATATAAAAAAAAAAAAGTCTAATCAACCAAAACTTTCACAACCCCCATGCAGTACCTCCATGGAGCCCCTAGGGGTCACGGACCCCTGTTGAAGACCTCCGATTTAGATAATAAAAATGTTAGAAAGTTTTCTCTATTTTAATTTTTTCTAACCCTGCTGACTGCATTTGGCAGCCCTAAAAAAATCTAACAAACCAAATGTGACTCATGTATTTGACTATTTATCATTTTTAAGTTAATAAAAGTCACGGAGATTTTAGTTAATTCTGTTTATTTCTTAGCGCCAATTCACAACACATGTCATCTCAAGGCACTTTACAGTTCACCAGATCCTACAGCCAAATTGATTCAATGATTTCTATCTAAGGAAAACCAGTTGATTGCATCGACTCATTGACTCGAACGCAATCCCTCACTCAGTTAAGTGTCCCGTTACTTCCTGTTTTCCTCCCAGTTAATTTTAGCCAGTCTTTAAATACTGTGTGTTGAGTCTAACTTAGGGGACTGCAAGTCGCTCTTTGGAGCTTTTAAAGCGGCTCCTAACTTTGAATATTTGACTATATTAGTTTTTGCTTCATCAGTTGTCATACATACAGTAACTATGCATGCCTCAAGTTTTGAACAGCTGCATTTTTTAACAGATAAAAAAAAAAAGCTTTCCCTTTGCATAACTTTTCTGAATAGTTAAAACCTAAAATTAATATAAAACTGTGGCTCTCTGAAAAAAAAAATAAAAACAGGTTGCTGCTGAGAAGATTTATGCTGTTTTATTTCAATTTTTTATCCTTTAACATTAGAAGCTCTAACTAGTTTTAATTGCCTGGACTTGGGGCCAAAGTGGCTCTTTGGACTCTTATGGTTGCAGACCCCTGGTTCGACTCATGTTGTCACCACACACAGATCAGGAGCTGGTAAGAGATGGAAACCAAGTCTCCATAGCGACCATTAAATACCAGCCTGTTACACAAAATGTTTCGTTAAGGCTCTCTTCTTGTTGTCTCGATGTGTTTTGTGAAAAGCTGCCTGAATAGACGCCTTCCTGCTCTACTTGTCAAAGCAGTGATTGTAGTGATGATGAATTTTAAACCAACATTTGCAGAAAATACATCTAAGACGTACTTAAAAAGGAAGGATATCAGGAAACATAACGTAGACACTAAACATGAACAGCCCTGTGGACTAAAACCACAGGCCGTTCAGAGGTGGCTACACTGCAAAAATAATATAGAAATAAGTAAAAAAAAAAAATCTTAAATTAAGGGAGTTTACCCTTAAGGTAAATAAGATGATTTGTCAATGGAATGAGTATTTTTACTCTTATCATAAGATAATTAGACATTATGCACTTGAAATAAGACAATGTAATTGTTTTTTTCTCATTTTAAATGTAAATGGTCTTATTCAGTTGGCAAAGCGTCTCACCTTCCTCCTCAATTCAAGAAAAAATGTACTTATTTAAAGAAAAAATGACTTATTTAGATTGATAATTGATGACGACAGATTGATCATTTTTTGCAGTGTAAGAAAGATGCAAATATCTACATGCCAGGTCGTATGATTGGGTGGCCAGAAATAATAAATCTTTCCTATTCTCCAAAATGGAAACACATGGGGTTTACTCAGCACTACAGGGACTGAATCAGTTGGTCAGATGAGATTAAGACTGCAGCACATATTCCGAGCAGCTTTGGTGTGAATCAAGGAAAGAAAACATGGAAAACTTGTTCACTGTAAAGCACGGTGGAGGTTGTGTGATGCTTTTAGTGTTTTTCTCTCTCAAAAGCATCTCACTAGCCTAAAATCAAAAGCATAAACAGACAATATTGATCAAACTTGATATATTGATCACCCTTTCTAACATTTATTGCATCTGTAATATAATGTATGTTATCAAGACCCCCAAGTGGGGACCTGATCTAACTTTAGGAACCAGTAAGAGTGGATTTTATGATGGTTTTATTTTTTGTTTCAGCAGATCCACACTGCTGGATCTGCTGCATAGATTGTTGAAAGAGAAAAGCCTGATCTAGGCTAGTAAAATGATACGAGAGTAGACTATGTGTCTATATGGGGAGGTGGGGTCACATAACAGCCGGGGTGCCAGTAATACAGTATGAAGGTGAAAGTCACACCGATCATTTGATCGAGTACTTTCTCAGATCTAGAAACAAAGCCTCTGTGATGCACAGACGCCTCTGAACCGCCAACCACAAATGATTTAATTTCAGATCTGTGACCAGCAGACAGGAAGTAGGTGGACAACAAAGAACCCGGTGAGGCTGAGATGAGATTACCTGCCGTTCCACACAGATCCACACTGAGCGTCTGCTCATAAGGCCTGGTGCTGAACTGGGACTCTCTGGTGAAGAGACAGATCAAAGCAGAGAATTTTCAGCTCCCTCTGTCACTGACGGACAAAGTTGCAGGCTTAAAACAGAAAACAGCAATCCCTCAATAGGTCCAGAGTCTGCGCTTCTAGGCCTCCATAAATAAAAAGGACTGTTTCGGCTGATGTCTGCTGAATTTGAATTATTTGTCTTGGTGCGAACACGGCTGGCACTTTGCTGGGAATCTCATTTCTTATCAACACGGCCGCATGTGCTCCTCTCTCCTCGGCGCCTTTCTTCTTCTGCTCTTGGTGGCTGTCAGTTGCTGTTGCTCTGGTTGCATTGGAAGGAAGTGGGTGTGCAGACTGTTACTGGCTTCAGGCAATAGGATCAATTTCCCTCCACAGAAAACACTAAAGTCTCCCTTTTGATGTCACTGATTTATTTAGATGGAAGAAGCCTTTTTTAGGAAAACGTTCAGCCCTCAAGAGTAAATAAATGCTCAACTTCTGATATAAATTTGCAGTCAATGGGAAATCAAAAAGAAAAGGATTCGTTTTAAGTTCAGTGAAGGCAGGATGATTTCAGGTCAATGTTTAGACTAAATAAGATTTAGGATTTTAGGAACTCTGAGCTGAAATTTCTCCTGTAAACATCAGACCCTGTGGGAATCAGGGCTGCAACTAACGATTATTTTGCAAATCGATTAATCTGTCGATTATTTTATCAATTAATCGATCAATAATCAGATAGACAAATATTCCTTAAAGAAGAGTTTTTACTAAATTAAACCAGGTGAAACTAAAACTTGTAGTTGTTTTGGATAGAGTGCAAAATGTTTATATATTTGTTTTTACAAATTTAGATATAATTACTGCTGTAAGTGGGTCGCTCTGTCTGCTTAAGGCATATTTTACCGTCTCTATGCTCCAGTTAACAATTAATTGATTAGTAAATTAGCTGTGGATTATTTAAATAATCAAATAATAAGATTTATTGTGTGTGATTTCCTCGTGGAAATTATGTTTTCAAATGAGGGGGCTCAAAACAAGGACAGGTATAAAACTAAATGGCATCACAAAAACTAAGACATACCTGCAAATTAGCAAATCTGATTTTGATTAAGAAACTCTATTATGTTCTAATTCAGCAGCTATAGTACGTTTTGATTCCTGTTTAACTTGGAACTGAGCGCTTTCATCGGATGATATACTCGGACTTCTATGTTATGCTAATTAGTAATTCAACAGCTTCCCTCAACAACAGATAATTAAGCAGGCTGTCATTTTACCGAGGCTGTTCTGGAATTAGAATTCAGTGACTTACTTCTCATTTTTGCAGTACAAAAAAACAAAACAAAACTAACATTGTAATTTATGTGCTACAAAGTGTAATATTGTTAAAGCCTTAGTGAGTCTAAATTATTCCAGTTCCACATTAGATCGGCCTTCCCTGTTTTCTTTTGCAGCATAGAAGAGATGATACAAAAACATATGTGCTCCTATGAGGATCATCGGTGCGTAAATATTTACTTACTTATTGTTATGATTTTTTATTTTTTTATCTAAAAGAGAATAAAGTTTGCTAACCAGCCTAATTCTGCATTTCTGCAAGCTTTACTTTTCGCACTTTAGGTTTACCATCCTTTCTAAGGGCAAAATAAAAATTTTTACTTGAATTTAAAATGATATTCAGGGTTATCTATCCCTTCCTACGGTAAAGAAATGCCAGGACCGCAACTCCTCCAACTGTTGCTGAGCACTGCCGGTCTGCTGACTGAAACAAGGTTGCAACACTGTTCCTTTTTGCACTTGAAGAAGAACTTTTAGCGTCATGCTAGCAGAACCTGAATGCAGCCTCTAACTGAGCAGACAGACTAAATAAACAGTCTGTATCTGCTTATGTTTCTCTGCTACCATAGGAGCAGGAGAATTAAACATAGCAGCCAAGTTCAGCTGGTGCTACAGAGTACCTCTTCACTTAAAATTATACACACTACAGTTAATAAAGCCGGCATGGCTGGTACTAAAATCTCCAAAGTGCATAAAATGTGAACTGATTATGGTCGCTGCAATATATATGATGAAAAGTGGCGGGAAATACTTCTAATATAAGGAAGCACCTGGTTAAGCAAAGGACAGCCTCAGATCTACAACTATGGCTCTTGAATTCAGCACCATTAGCATCGCTGCAGCCAGTAACCCTGGTGAAGCAGCCATATCATCATCCTCGTCAGCTCCAGGTAAATAAACCTGGAGTGTAAAATGATTCCCAGGTATCGGTTCCAATGGGGAACGGTCCCCATCCCTGGAACTCAATGACTAATAGTGGTTCATGATAAATCAGGTCCTTTATTTCCTTTAAATAGTGACAGAAAGCAAGAAGAACCATTTTCACTTCTTTACCAAGTTCAGAAATCATTTTGAACCACAACATACATTCAAGGTTCACTGAAAGACATCAGCTGCAGGAATGTACTTTATTACTATGACTTTATGCGGCTTACTTCATCATTTTAGCAAAGTTTCTTATCTACCTTTTGACCTGTTCACATTAACAATTCCTATGAGACAGAACTGTAAAATATACTGAACATAAATCATAATTTAAATATCTGTGTTTGTAATATTGTGACAGAAAAGGAATAGTTGGATGCAGTATCTGGTAACATGCATCCAAATCCTGCCTAAATCTATTTGATCTATCTCTTTCCTCCCATCGATGCCCACACTGGACGCAATAATTACTTTAGCTCACAAAGAGGGGTAAATATAACATGCTTTGACTTTATATTTTTTCATGTGATTTTAAGTTAAACGCTTTAGTTTGAAAATGAATTTCACTAAAATTAAACAGAACTTAATGCTTCATGAACTGTTCTTGCTCAGGAATGGTATTTTGTGGGTTTGAAAATTTCATCTATGTTTAATTTGACTTTTTTCAGCTCGAAAATTCATTTTCTTGCCATCAGACAAGCAGGTCCTTTAGGCGCAGAGTAATCAAACGCTGTGGCTCAAGGACCTGCTAGTCTGACAAAATGAAACTGAACTTTTTTAGCTGAAAATTAATCACAAAGTGAAAGTAAAAGGTATATTTTCAAAGTAATCAATTGAATTTTAAACATTGCGTTTTTCAACTTATTTTCAAACTAATGCATTTGATTAGAAATGACATAAATATAGATTTACTCAGGGTCATTCAAATTCTTTTTCTGCTGTCAAAAGTGTCTGCCCGTTGTAAAAGAGAAAAAGAAAAGAGAAAAATGGTTCAAATGAATATATTCCCAATATTTAGCAATGGTAGCAGGTACATCTCCCCAGCAGGAGATTTTCCATCCTTAAAGAAGGGATCTTATCTCCGCTACTTCAGTAGAAGACCGTTATTTAACTTAAAGGCACAATTGAGAGAGAAGCACCTAAAGTGGAGGAGGTCAAAAAGCAGTTTTTTTCATTTATACTTACCCTGTGGACTTTGGGTTGAGGGGCAGACAGAGACAGGCCCGCTTTTCTGCAATTAGAATAAGACCCATTAGAACAGGGTGACAGGGCTGCTGCTGATCAGTACATATGAAGGGATACGCTTAGTCACCATCTTAGGAAAGAATACACAAACGAATCCCATGATGAAAAACATAACGAAAACAATTAAGTAATATAATGAAATCAAGAGAGAGTTCAAATTTGTTTTTTTTTTCAGAAAACATTAAACTAACTAAATAACAGCTGCTTAACTTTAGCGCAGGTTTATAAAAAGTTGCATTAGAAAACCTTTCCTATTGATCTAAATCTCTATGTCAGAGTCAGAGTGACTGGTGTGGATGCAGCCTTTGTCTGTGTTTGGTGATCTAACCATGGCAGCAGGATTTGGTCAGCTCAGAGGTGTTGCTGCCATCGTTAGACGTCATTTTTTCTGGCTGGACCTCTGTCGTCGTCGTCCCCCCTCCGACCTGGGTGGGCAGGAGTCGGTCCCCTGCTTCTTCCTCCCCCTTCCCATCCTTTTCTTTCCCCTCTCCGTCCCTCTCTCGCGTGGGGCGCCACCTTTTGGCGAAGCGGCTGGGGAAGGATGCTAAGCGTCTGGAACGGCGGACGGAGAAAGAGCCGCTGGTTTCAGCGGGCTCCTCCATGCTCTGGGGAAGCCCAGAGGAAGAGTTTCTCCTCTCAGGCGAGGAGGAGTCTTTCTGGAGCTCTGCTTTAGGACAGGAGGAGCTAAAGGCTGTGGTGCATTTAGTAGCTGGGGGACAAGCAGCAGATGCTACACCCCTGCTGGGGCTGTGTGAGTGGGTGTAAGGTGGGCTGTGGAGTCTGTAAGGCTTGCTCACGTCAAAGGAGCTGCTCTGTTGCAAGAGCTGCCGGAGAAGAGAGTTGGCCTTCATCTCCCTCCGCCTGGCGAAGGGAAGCCTTCTCGGGGCGCTGCTGCTTGTCCCGTTTAGGTTTCCACCAGTCGCAGGAGCGTTTACCAGTACGACTCTGCTGTGAGAGCCGCCGTTCGCCGGGCGGGGGACATCGGGTTTGGCCCGCATCCTCGACAGGTCCCGGTCCTTTCGGTCCCAGCTCTGCTGCTTGCGCATCGGCAGGCAGTAAGTGTGCATGTAGGTGATCAGCTCAACAACTGACTGGAGTTCTTTCTCCGAGCTGAACTGAGGCGCGGCGGGTTCGACGGGGCCGGCGACAGCCGCCCCCTCCACCTCGCTGCTGGAAGACTCCTCCTCTTCCTCCTCTTCATCCTCCTCTGACTCACTGTCCTCGTCCTCCTCTTCATCGTCACCCTCATCCGTGTCATGAACCGGGGTGTCGTCACTTTCCTGCGCCGTGGTCAGGTGGCGGTGGAGCTCTGCGCACAGGCGCCCAGTGGGACGCACGGCTCGGGACTTCCGCTCTAAGGGGAGGTCATTCTGGGAGGGTGAGAGAAAACATGCAGAAGGTCAACTTTAAAACGGTTCAGATGATTGTTTACCTTCCAAAAAAATAATTTTTAACTGAATAAATAAATGGATAAATGGATGGTGAATGGATAGACAAATCATTTCATTATCAGATGCATTTATCCTACAACCAAAATGATAAATTAACTTTTGCAAAAACAACATGTTAAGTATTGAATTTTGTTGTGACAAATGTCTAACTGGCACTAGTCCCTCCTTCTTTTCAAAAGCAACAGCAAAGCATCATTTTAGGCCACCTGCAGCCTTTGCAGGGCGGCCAGTGAACAGAGAGGAGCAATCCGCCTTAAACCTCCAGCTTCACTTCAACAGTGCTTGCGTCACATTTACGAGTAATTCTGAGCACACAGCATTCTCCATTGTCTGTAGATGTGTCACCCTCGTCTGACACGTTCTGCAATAATGTGCCCCAGATACTTGGTTCTGCTTGTAACACCCTCACCATGTCGGACAGAAAAAAACCCAGTTGGAAATGGAATATGTTTATCTTTACATGAGCGCACCTTTAGATGGATTTCACTTAGTCATGCTCCAAACCAATCATGTGAATTAGTTGTTGTAACCCAGTGTTTTCCCAGTTTTCATCCAATAATTAAATTTGCTTGAGGTTTCAATTCAGACATGAAAGTTTTAATCACGTCACATTTTCCCCAACTGAAAACGATCAACAGCATCGTCCCTGGAGGAACTCTGACGATGGCTCTGACGACTCTGAAAGGAACCAACCTGGAATAAGCCGTGACTCTGGAGAAATCCTCCTTTGGCTAAAAAATGACTTATTGTTGCATCTCATTTCAGCAAAGTTAGATTGACCTCGTAGCATAACACATTTAAAAACCTGGAATATTTTAAGTGAAAGAGGCAGATACCATCCAGTTGTTGAATGCATCTTGATTGGTTTTAACTTCACTTTTAATGTCTAAATCAGTAACTTAAAAAACAAAACCATGGACAAGCAGAACAAACAGAGAAAAAGGCGCTGTGTTTTTATTTCCCTGCTCTGGGTGCAGGATCAGGGAACATGCAGCAGCACATTCTTCTCCTGACTTTGAGAGGGATGATTCAGTCTGCAGCTGCACCAAAATGGCTGATCTGTATTACTCATACAGATAGTGCAGAGCGACCGACTGTGATTCACCGTTGCCCTTCTGCCCCATCAGTCAATACTTCCACCATCTGCCATCAACGCTGATTTTAAGAAGCCCTGGCGATAGATACAGGCCAGATAATCCGGAGCTTCTTTCTGCAGCGGCTTCTCTGCACCCCTTACTTAGACTGGAGCTTTTTCCCTACGCTTGTACAGAGATAAATGACCGATGTTGTAATCAATGACCACTTGAAGCACAAAGCTAGCAGCCATCCAATTACTACTAAGTCATACAGCAGTAGCCGTTGTAGATGTCCTCTCATCCCCAACACCACATTCATCACGAGCAGCAGCTGAAGGTCTCTGCAAGCTTGACGGCTCAGGGTTTTTATTCTAAAATGAAATATCTATCACTGGGAAAATAAAACGTGTCGCCGAACGGGACGCGCTGCCTCTGCATTCCGGACAGCTCTGATATGGCTTCCCATTTTTGTAAACATAATGGAGTATCTGAGAGCTGTCAGGAGCCGTGCAAACGCCTCCATGCGAGCTGAAGGAACTTGTTCGTCACTTCTTTTTAATAACAATCTGACTGGATTTATTTTATTATGCTGTTTTTCTTGTTCTTCTACTACAGTTTGTATTTTTCTTATTTTTAAACGTTGAAGTGGAAACCAGTGGATGAAGTGGTGCAATGATCTGTTTATAGCAAAAAACGCATCAATTCCTAAATGTTTTATATTTCAAGATGGATGCTAAACTGCTAAGAAGTGCTGTCCATAATTCAGAGATTAAATCTCCAGCATACGGAGCAGATTAACCAGGGATGCAATAACTGGTCGGTCGCCTGATCAACACTTATTAACTTATCTTATCTACCTGTATATAGGTTCCCCACTGGAAATCCTATACACTTTTTATTCTGCAACAGTTTTTATTACTACATCTGTGTTGTAACTCTTTTTTCTATTTTGTGTTTGAAAAGATTGAAATACCGAAGGTGTCTTAGGATCTTTTAACAAGGTTCAGTGGAAGTTATTTAAGAAAATAAAAGGGTATTGATCAAAATTAGAACCGGTATGTCGGACTTTAAAAAGATCAGTTATCGGTTATCGACCAGAAATTCATTACTTTTGCAATCAATCCTGATGTTTTATGAAAAATAGAAACAAATCCAGAGATTAAAATTTAAAAAAACGTAATGATTAAATAAAAGATTTGAGACTAACTTTGATTCTTTCATTGATTTTATTTTTCCATTATATTAAATAGAAAACCATTTTCATAGTCTAAAAAAAATGTTTTCCTTTATGTTTTCTCTTATAAAAACATAAAAGTAATTGTTCCAGATAAAGCCTGTCTGCTAGATCTTCTTTTAACACATTTTTTACTCTGCTGACCCCAAAAGATAATGAGCAGATACTATCTCAGCTTTTGGAAACAAAGTTTTTAATCCAATAAACTCTGATCTGATTTTTTACCATTTTATTTGTCTTTTGAATGCTGTTTTAAACTTTCTCTTTTTTATTTTGAGTTTACATATTGCACTTAGTGGTGCAGTGGGTAGCACTGCTGCCTTGCAGCAAGACGGTTCCGGGTTTAATTCCCAGCCTGAGGTCTTTCTGCATGGAGTTTGCATGTTCTCCCTGTGCATGCTTGGGTTCTCTCCTGGTACCAGCACCGCTCGCAACCCCGCTTGGGATAAAGCGTGACGCAACATGGATGGATATTGCATTTATTTCAAATTGCATTTTACAGATTTTACTTCAGCTTTTAACTTTAAGCCAAACACCAATATTTTCTATCATCCAATAAATATAAGTGGCTTATCTCCATGCTGACCAAAGAAGTCTCCTGTTGTCACATGTTCATCCAGGAGGAGGGAATCCTGCAAAGTCAATCACTGGATGCAAGACAGCAAAGTTTAAACCAATCTGACTATATGATCTCTGTAAAGAATCTTGAGATGACATGTTTTGTGAGTTGAGGTTATATAAATAAACTGAATTGAATGAAGAAGAGGAGAAAATTCCTATTACCAGAGCTGCTGTCAGTCTAACTGCAGCATTAGTTCGATTTTGCAGGAAAAATCCGCCTCTGCACGCTACTCAGCAGACTGATTTCAACCATAAAGACTCTTCTGTTTGTTTCTGTTCAGTGATGAGCAGAACCAACTTTTTCTAATCTTTCCGGATCATGGTTAGGTTTTATCTCTCGGGAAGCGATGCTCAGCATCTCTTCATCTAAAATCTTCATGCGAAGTATAACTAATTATTCATCCCTAATCTTCCTTGAGCAACTTTTTTAACCGGAAACATTAAAGGAAAGCACTGCTAAACTTCCAATTATGGTTTTATAATGAAAGTGCATCTCTGATGGAAGAGGCAGTGCGGACACATTTAAAAACAATCCTGCAGCTGCAGATATGCTGACTGCAAACACCATATACAGCTGGAAACGACTTCTGCCTCAAACCGCCGCCCTGAGAGGAAGTGATTGGAAAAAGCCAATTTGGTTATCTCACCAGGTTTCAGCGGACACAGCGGCGAATGCTGAGATCTGTCTCTACCTGGTTTCTGTTTCTATTTTAGTCTTCTTTTTACCTAACAGGAGGGTTCTTTAAAGGCGTGAGAACAAACCGTCTTGTTGCTAATTCTCTGTAATTAGTGCCTCACCTTCGTCAGAGGTCTGACAGGCCGAAGGCGCAGACTCCTGTTGCTGTAGCGATGGCTTTGGGCTCCGTCTTTGTGCACGTCGATGCCGGATGGGACGTTGGGGGGAGTCAGCAGCAACTTCTTTAGCTGCACCAGAAAACACACAAAGGAAATTACATCAGCACATTCTCTTGGTTTTTAACTACAAGAACCACATGAGTCAAAACCTAAAATAAAGTAGAGATCTATTTTAAGGCCGATACTGATCTCTGATTTGTGCTGCAGATTTTTTGGAGCCAATATTGTTTTCTTTTCCTCCATTAATATGATAAAAATGAAACAACAATAACAAATATTGCACAAGCTTCAAATAAACAAAAAAACATCATTAACATTAACTGATGGATGGCAAATGGAAGGTGCGGACACTGTGAGCACCTGTATCGGACGATACAGATAACAAAAAAGACGCTAATATTGGCCAAAATCATCACCCAGCCAGCATATCGCTTAATTTCTGAATGAAATACATCATATGGTTAATATCCTATGGTACAATAATAGCTAGAAGTGTACAATAAACCATCACTTTTATTTTTATGCACTATTTCTGCTAATGTCAATTACCAGGACTGATTAGAGACAATATTTCGTAGTCAACTGTATTTCAAGAACAACTGATGATGCTAATGATTAGGGCTGCAACTAATGATTATTTTGCAAATCGATTGAAAACTGTTGATAATTTTTTCAATTAATAGATTAATAATCGGATAACAAAAGGTTCCTTAAAGAAGACTTTTTACTAAATTAAACCAGTAGAAACTTTTTTTTTTTTTTTACAATTTTTAAATGGTAGTTTCGCTCTGAGTCGCTCTGTCAGCTATATGCAAGTTTTACAGTCTCTACACTCCAGTTAATGATTAATCGATGACTAAAATAGTTGACGATTATTTCAATAATCGATGAATCATGATTAATCCGATGAATTGTTTCATCCTTACTAATGATATATCTGTACATTTAGATTTCTAGCTATCCAACGGTAAAGTTAGCAAAGATCGTTGAGGACAATTCAATCAAAATAAAAGGAAAAAAAAGCTATATATCAAATTGGCTTTGTGCTTTTCAGCAGAGAGATTTTGCAGATGAATTCCCTGCTGATTACAGTCTGGATATTTTATTTTTCTTGACTCAGAAATGCGGTTTTGACCAAAGCGTTTGGTTCCAGAGTGGCCGTCCATAACCTCAGGGTCTCTCCTCTTAAGGCTGCAGTTACTCCATAGTTCTTTATCCTTCCTTTCAACTTTCCTTTAACGTTCCACTTAACGGTTTAGGGCCAGAGCTCCATGTGGAGGCTGTCAGGATGACAACACATTTAGGCAGAACCATTAGGATCCAAATGTAGTGAAGCGATATATGGACACGGACTTTTAGTCATCATGCTAGAAAAGGACGGGGAAAAAAAACAAAAAAACTATTCACATCGACATGAAAGCATTCAGTTCTTTCACCTCACTTTCTAATCTAGATTCTGTCAGGCATTAATGCTCCGCAGACGGATGTTTGTATAAAGGAATAATGTGTAGAAAAGGTCACGCTACTGTACATTTATCACACCACTAAAGCTGACAGCTACGTGGCATATTCACATTTCCTATTAAAGAGCCAGATCCAGTCTTTTTCTACATAATAATACATGATGACCACCTCTCTTTCTCCTTTATCCATCCCTCCATCAGTCTCTACCTGTGTGACCCCTCACACTTATTTTCATCCTTACTTCAAAGCTGTCACATCAGCTCTGCCCTCTTTTCTCCTGTTCCCATCCTCTTGTTGTTCCGGATCAAACACAAAGCCTGAGTTAAGGCATAAAGAGTAGGAACACTCTCCTTAAACCTTCCCTGGGTATTACCTTTCAAAAAGATATTAACACAACCGCTCCTCATTCTCCAACTATCCTTTCATTACTTTTTTCCATCTGTGTACTCATCCGTTCAATCCTGAGCGTAGCTTCATGGCAGGCCTATCAGCTGATATAAATCAGCTTAGAAAGAAAATCCCCCTTTAAGCTTTGCAGCCTTTTGCTCCAAAAGATGATGCAGGAAATACAGAAATGATAGGAATTAGGATTCAAAGGGAACCGTTATAAAGGCGGCAGACGTAAAGCGGCGGCTCGTTCAGCCATATTGGAGCCCTGTGGTTGCCGCAATTTGCACAATTGCATCAAAACAATAATGCGACAATTTTGGTGCAGTGTTTCTGGGAAACAGTGGAATAGTGTTACTTTTTTAGCTTTCTTTAAAGCGGCATAGTCTTGTTTAGGGTTGAAAATCTAATTGTATTTGGATTATAACAGTAATTTCAGATTTTATTCATGGAGAGACATGAATAAAATACGTTTTCGGCGCTCAGGCCACGGCAGAAATGTGTGGCAGCAAAACCCACAGAGTCTATAACTACCACCTAAAGGGCTGCAGTGACAAATTGAGTGTCATACTCTTGTTAAATATAATAAAAAACTGAGTGCCTCTGCAATTTGAATGATTTTTCCAATTTCGATTTTATTGCGAATGTAATAAACTGCCTAATAATTGGCCTTTCTCTTCATACGTATAAGCCAGTAGTTCAACTCTGGCAACATATGGAGTTTATCTGGAAAACTGTCACTCCTACCTGCATATTATTTACTATTTTTTACTCTTCATTTTGCTTTTTTTCTCATAGATAAAACCGTTCTGTGAATAGTTACTATAACAGCATCAGATTACCTTAGAGACAATTAGGGCTACAACTAACTATTATTTTGCAAATCGATTATTTTTTCAATTAAAAAAGGCTAGTTAAAGAACCTTTGGCTACTGTTGGAATGTTTGGGGCTCAGTCAGGCACTATGAAACAGCTGCGTCAATTCTGCCAAGCTGCCAGCAGATGGCACCACGTCTGTTTACGTCTGTTCATCGCACCTGGTGCTGAAATTCTAATTAGGCTCCAAAATGACCTTAAAAGCACCTTGGTCTATTTAAACTTATTTTATCACGATACAATTTTTTATTTTTATTTTTTTTTATAAGCATATAACGTGACTGTGCCCCTTTAAAGACAAAAATATCAATTTTTTTTAAATTAACTCTTAATATTTTAATTGCAGTTAAAATAATTTAACCATATTTTCCAATGGCAACAAAAGAGATAATAATATATTATAATAATTATAATATATTATTAAATATTTATACATATATTTTTTTTATTCCATTAGAAACATCTGAAGTAAAAGTTTGTATTATGTAAAAGAAAAAGGCTCTGTTGGGAGTTTTCTACAAGGCAATAAGAGAGGATAGCCACCCTGGGGAAGGAGCTAATCTATTCAGATGAGACAAAACTTTTCGTCCTTCATGCGATAATACATGTGCTGCAGAAAACTAACCCCCCACATCACCTTAAATGCACCATCTCCATGGTTGAACATGGTGGTGGGAGGATCATGCCGTAGGGATGCTTTGCTTTGGCAGAGGTCAGATTTCAAACATGATAATAGTTTAGAGCTGTTATCCACTCATCATTGACACGAAGACTGCACTACAGGTGGATGCAGGACTACTCTATATAGAGAGACAGTCTGGTCTGGAAAGAGCTGAAAAAAATCCTTATAAAAAAGTAATGTGAGACATTTTTATGTAAAACTGCTTTTAAATTGATGGAGTTAAAGGAAAAAGTGCAATTTGACACATTTTATTAGCAGTGCATGCTATAAAACTGCTGGGCCATGAGTCAATTTTAAATCAGTTTCGTCACAGTTATTGTACTACAGTGCTTTAATGAAAACAACATCACCACCCAACAGCGCTGGCTCTAACCAAAGAATACTATCTGGGTCAATTGACTGAAATGGGAGCGTTGCCTGCACCGCTAATGGGGCCACTGTGGCCCTTTGTCTGGGAGCCAACTTGGCTTAGAGTGTGTGATGATGCTCCTCTTGGAGTCTCATTGAGGAAAGTGAACAGGAGACTGAAGGTTTGAGTCTGTGTGAAATGCTGCAAACTCTTGGACAGCATCGGGGGCCTCCCTAACAGTACATCCCGCTCTGCTCTGCTCTGGATGCCTTCCAGAACTGCTCTGGCATCATCAATAGAGGCCTTGTTCTATGGGGGAACACACACATACAGGAAAAGTGGAGATCGGAACTAAAAACACAGGTGATGAGAGAAAAGGCATTATTTTTGATCGTATAAAGCTCCCCTCATATCTACAATCTAGACTTCTAGATTCCTAAAGTACATACTGAATCTCTGGTATTTACTTCTTTTCACTTCTGTGTATTTGTGAAGCTAAGTACTTCTAAAATTATGTTAACCAATAAAGTCTTATCTTCCTTTTACCCAGTGAAGATAAATCATAAATACAAGGAGCTGAACTGAGCTTCATATGTTCAGTAGTTGGACATAAACTTAAAAACATGGTGAGAGCTTAAAATAACAGTGATTTTATGTTTTCTGCGACACAGGGTCCGTTATTCAGCCCATTTAATGTAGTTTATTCCCAGACACCAGGTATAAAACTGTGGAAGGCCTTTGAATGGTGATCTTTACAAACTTCATACTGAAACTAAACGGTAACCATGTTCATGGTTTACCTAAGTATCAAACAGTCACAGGTTCAAAACCACGATTGTCTTTTTTGTCATACCTCTAGTGCGATTGTGTCAAATGCAATCAGCCGGTTTTCCTTAGACAGAAAACGGAACCATGCCGATTGCATTGTCTCTGTAAAGTAACGTTTATTGTGAATTGGTACTTTATAAATAAAGTGAGTTGAATTGAATTGCGGTATAAGGGCTTTAATGTATAAATCTCATCAAATAGAGTACCGCCTGTGTAGCTTTGTAGCTGCTCGTGCTACAGGCTCTATGATGGATGAAGTAGGGGACCGCCATGAACTTCTTCGCCTCTTCAGACAGGCAACAACACTGTGCTCTGGATCCCATTAGAGTCAGCTGCTGGAGAATACTAAGGCTAACGCAAGAGAGTGGACGGCAACGGCCTTGAGGAAGAAGGCAGCCCATCATGCAAAAGGACAGCAGCAGCCAGAAGCAATAAGGGAGCATCACCCAGCGTTCTTTACTAGATTCAAGGTAAAGTTTATGG